CTATTGGACAACCCCTAAGGAAAATAGTTATTAGAAAATATATTTCGATTTAGGTTATATACATAAGCAATTAAAAATTCAAACCATGATAAATATTTATGAAAATGCTTTGGATAAAACGATTATTTTCACCAATTTATGTTACTTAATTTAATATAATAAAAGATTAAGCTATCATTAAGCACGTTAGAACATTATTTTTGACTCTAACGCTTTAAAATTAAAAATAAAATAGCTTTATTATTTTTATATAAACCTCCGCGTTTGGATCAATTCAAATTAGCCGTGGACCGCCGCTAGGCTTTCCAGAGAGAGGTTTCGTTTCCCGGCGCTCTGCCTGACTTTTTCCACGCATACGAGAATAGTACACTATTATAGTGTTATCGACAAGTTTTAGTCCTTTACTAAGTAAAATATTTTATTATTATTTTTGATGGCCGACAATATGTATTTCAGAGTGGCAGAAAATTTCGATTCAGACGTAATGGGAAATAAAATCAAGCTATTTTTAGCAAATAAAAAAATACGAAAAATGAACGGTGGTACATTATCAGTGTTTATAATTACTTTGTATTTCGCTTAAATGCTTACCAGCCGCGATGAAATTAGTTTCGCAATCCGAATAAACGAAGGAATATACATCTCGTCACACTACAAATATGTCTAAACACGCGAGGAAACACTCTGATGACAACGACGATAAGACTTCGAGGTGTGCAGCTTTTGTCGAATAATAAATACCCTAGCATTTCGCCGTAAACTTTCTTTTGTAATGAGTGGACCACCAAGCTCCATCCCTATATGCTCAAAAACTTTATTAGGGGTCAATATGTCAAAGGCTGCTGCTGGAAAAGATGTCATCTCAGGCTGTAAGAGCACTGGGTTGTGTTTAGACAAACTCACCTAATAATGCGACAGGATGCTAAAATCCAAAAGTTTTGATCTGTAAGGTGCGTGGGCCTACATGTAACTATTTTCATGTAAATATTCAATAAATATTAGAATAAATCTACTATTTTCGGTAAGAAACGGGGATGGAATAATTTGTTCGACCCCTCACCCTAAGATATCCGCGTTCGTCAATAAATGGAGATAATTTTCTCAAAAACGGATCGTATTTTGTGCCCTTTGACAACATTTTTATATAGTTTGCAAAGTGTGCACTCTGTACTAATTTAATTAAAACATCTTGAGCGGTATTCAATTCGTTATTCATTAGTATTGATTGCTTAGATTTAAATCGAAACCATCTCAATATTCGAGCAAACATACGTTGCAGTTTATAACAAGACTAGCGGTCGCCCGCGACTTCATTCGCGTACAATTTCCGATTTCCTATGAGATTATGAAATTTTCTCGCTGCAAAAGGCCTACCTATATAGAGGCTATACAAAGCTTATGCAAGTATTTATTACAAGTTGATGATGTAGTAACGTTAAGTTATCCCTTCCCTATTTAAATATCCGTAAAGGCAAAAGAAATCACCGGATCTGTTCAAGGGGAAACAATATTCATACCACGAATACTTAATACTGGGCTAGTTTTTCATTTGATTCCACTACCATGTTAAGGGGGGTGGGGGAGGGGATTGGGTCTCCGGTCACCTGCAGTCACAAAGCGAAAAGCAGAGATTAATCTCTACTTCACGCTGGTATTCTATGAGGTCGTGGTACCACCCCGGTTTGAGCCGGCCCATCCGTGCGACAGCAAAAGCTGCCGCGTGGCTCTAGCACTTAAAATTTCGTGAACTACATGAACAGAAAAGAATAATTAATATTTCGTGAACTTCAACGTTTGTACTTTGCCACTGAGATTGCAAGGCTGCAATCAGTCAAGGTTTCGTCGTCGCCCTTTTCAACGCCAAAAACCATTTTTACAGAATGGTATTATTAGAGTGGGTGGTCGTTTATCTAGCTCGCATTTATGTTTGGCCCAACGACACCCTATCGTAAGGATCATATTTTGAATTTATTAATCGATTATACACACAAATTGAATTGTTGCTAGCTACTAGCACGCTAGCCCTGAGTTGTTGATGTCTATTTTGCCTTAGAACTACTGGGTTCTTTCCAATCGCAACTTTTCTTTCTCCCCGCGACCCCATAGGTAGAGTGTACTCAGATAATAGTAAAAGAAAGAATATAGTATAAGAAAAGGTACCGGACTGGACCGCGGCAAGTGCACCTTTTTCTCGCAGATCTTTCGTTCCGCGCAGCTATCACTTAACCACGAGCTGCTCTTCTCTAAGGCTATCACTGTAGGTAATGAACCACGCTAGTAAGCCCCCAATATCAAATACTATGGAATTTATAGTATCATAGCACACAGAACCGCACATCTCCTTTGCGGGCGTCTAGTGGCGCTACAGAAGCATTGCTTAATATCCGTACCTAACTACGCTAAGTTTTATCATTGTGACTTGGGAATATAATCCAAAGCTCCACTCAACCCCTTGTGGAAAATAGCGTGATGCTATGAATATTGTACTAGTGTGAGTTAAGTAAGGGTTTTCAGCCGATAAATAGATACATCTTTATTGTACTACATATCTTATTTTTGCGCGCCTAAGTTGACGTCAGGTACCTGTCACTAGCGCCATCTAGTGTCGGGGACCAGAGCGAGGAGGGCTTCCTAGAAAATGTCAATCTTGATCTTTCGACCAACAGCGCCATCTAGTATCGAACACAAGAATTAAGCTTTCTAGAAGCCCCCACACTCGAACTTTCTGCGTCTGGTCGTTCGGCGCTCGTATTTACTGGAATATTCTGGATGTTACGGTGTAAAAGGTGTATTTAAAGCCGCCGCAACCCGCTAACGGGGCAGTATTGAATTTTGAACAAGCGAAGCTTTCGAGCGAAATAAAGTGAATCAGTGTGATTAATTATTAGTATTTTAAGTTTTAATTGGTGTTCGGTAATAAAAGTGTAAATTTTAGTAATTCTATCGGCAGTTTTTATTGGCACAAACCTCAAGCTCGTAACGTTATCTTTATCAAAAGTTTATGAAGTAAAATCACTGGTACAAATATTGTAGAAATGGCTACTTTTAATAAAATTGGTTTTATTCTACTTTTTCTTTTATACCGCTAGAGTGATGCTGCCTCTAACTCACTCTCGATCCAGTCGGTATTTTATAGACGCGCCTACATATTTATTCATGAATTATACTCAAAAAAAATTATTAAACATGTAAATAAACTCGATAGTTGCTTCATAATTTACAAACTTCCAATTTGAGATCATTGCAAAAAAACATTAGTGCTGCTCCTGTATCATTGTTTCAAAAAGGTTTGAAGTAAATTTTGATACGAAAAAATGATAAGAATTTGTAAAATATCTCACACTCAAAAAATTTGCAATGTGACGGATCAAAATATTGTAAATAAATTTTAAATTTAATTTTTATAAGGGTATATGTAATTATAGACACTGGCAAAAGCACAACCGTACAAGTACATTACCAAGGAAAGAAAAGAAATGTCAATGTCATTTTTAATTGATTTTGATTTCATAAAAACCCCAATTTCGAAGCTAAGTATTTTTATCTAAGCTTTATCAGCATAAATATAAAAATTTACATATTATTTATTTTTATTTGAAAAAAAGCGACGTTAACTACGCTTTTATATTTGTGCCTAAATATGGGAGACGGATCTGATAGTAATGGTAGTCTTCTATTCGCATACTATTTTTAAATTCATGGAGTGATAATTATTTTCATGTTATCTTTACGTAGGGCTGCCATCTCTAAAACCTGCCCCCAGGACCGGAAGCGTAAGTTCCCCGGATTTCGGAGCTTTCACCCCGGACATTTCAATACTTTTTTCATTCACTTACATCTTGATTAAAATATATTTTACTCCGTACTTGATAGAAGAAAACTTTAATTTTAAGCCTCTTTTGTTGCATGAAATAGTGTGTGCAAAAAAATCGTTCTTGTGACAATCAAATCTCAAGAAAGAAATACCTAACCTATAGCTTTTATTTACATAAATTATGGGAACGGGATCTGATCGAAAAAGCCGGATTTTTATTGTACTCTATAAGTAGTAGTAATTTAAACCCCACCCGGACACTCCCCGGACATCTTCCAAACTAGGACAAATCTGGGGAAACCCGGACGGATGGCAGCCCTATCTTTACATTATTTTCATGTTAAAATTAAGTGTCACATTATTTATCCGCGATAAACTCCTAAACTACTAAACAGATTTCAATATAATTTTGCACAATGTGAGCAGTTTGGTGCAACTTGAGAGAGGATAGTTTTATCTCGACAAGTAACCCTCAATATTTTTTTACGAATTTTAAGGATTTTTTATAGGACAAAGGGTTGTCGGAGAGGGCTGACCAACGTCTGCCTTACCAGCCAGTTATATACATTAAATTTTTTTTTTAGGAGAATATAATATGCTTAAAGCTCTATATGATTTTGAAGCCACTTTAGCGAAGACGTTAAGTTTTACAGAAGGTGAATTTTTTTTTCTACAACAAACCAACACAAAACAGCGGAACTGGTGGCATGTTGTTAATAGAAAAGGTCACGTTGGCTTTGTTCCGTCGAACTATGTAGAATCAGTCCAGGTAAAATTAGTAGTGTACTAATCAACATAGTAATTCAATCTTAAAACATGCATACAGTCCACATATAGTAAAATCTCGCATAATATATTTGGTCCGACCTGGGAGTCGAACCCGGGACCTTAGCTCCACCATTTGCTGGTTCGTTCGAGCAGGATTTAAATGGGCAGCCTGTGGCCGTACTATTTTCTGGTTCATTCGGGCCGGATTTAAAATTAGCACCTTAATCATAGCAAAGGCAACAAAGCGAAGCGCATCATAGTCTTTCACAAACATTATAACCCTCACACTATTCAAAAAATCATGATTTTACATATAGTCTACAAAATATTAAAATTTGTATCAACTTTGCAGGTTGAACCGGATTTTGTTTTAGCATTTCTGAATGATTGTATTAAAAATCTCAATGAAAATAGTGCAATGTCATCACAGAAACAAGAAACATTGGCTAGATTAAATGAAAAAAGAAAACAAGTTCAACTTTCAATAAAACCACAGTCAAAGAAAGCTCCAGCACCAAAACCTCCACCACACTGGGATGATACCACACCTCCAAATGGAATTTCTCCATCATTTGACTTGAGACCAATTGTTTCACAGCAACAGGTGACTGAAGAACATGAACCACCACCGTCTCCAACTAAAACGACAGAAAACAATGTTTCACAAGGTAAGATCCATTTATGATTTTATATTTCGTTTCCTCAAGATTAAGGTCTGTCTTCTATGATAAACACTAAAATAATGGCACCAATTAGTAATTAAATTTAAATAACTTATGAAAGCAATTCTGTTCTACTGCTTTGTCAGCATTATAGCTATACACTTGCGGGGAGGGGAAAAATAGAAGTTTATATTGGAAACAAAATTTTCTCTAGTGATTTAATAATTAAATTTACCAACCAGTAATACGTATCATATATTTAGTGATAACTTTCTGATTTTTCAACAGCAATTGAATTAACTATATATATATTAGCAAGGTGCTTATTATAGTTATTTATTAGTAACTAGTTTCTATTTAGTTTCTTTAGTGTTACATTGTAAGACAGGGCAGGGACATTACCATTTAAAAATATTTTTGACTATATTAAATTGCTTCTCTGTTCCTATTTTTGTATTTTTCTTGTGTAAAATATAAGTAATAGAACAACTTTAATGAAAGTATCTTTAAAAGAGTTATCATTCAGTTGTGGAATGAAACAGGGTATGGGCAACAATAACTTCCTCATAACAACAACAACCCAACTCAAAATAATAAAAGACTGTGGTCGTCAACCCGCCTGCTAAGCGTAGTAACTATGGCAAATATAATTAGTCAATTTAAGGGGGAGGCCTATTTTCAGTAGTGAACTTTTAATAGACTAACTAGTATTATTTCCTCTTAAATAAAAATGGTACTATGGTTCATAAAAGATAGCTTGATCTCTGCGACAGCACTAATTAGGTCGGCATGCCCATAAAGTATGACATTGACAGGTACTGTCTGTACTACTATGAAATTAAGGACTTCATAGGCGTGATTTTTACTGACAGCTGTCGCAGAGATCAAGCTATCTTTTATGAACTATAACTCATGAAAAAAAGTAACTAATATTGTGGAGGTTCTATTCATACATAATTTACTCATAAACAAATATGGATATCCAGGATTTATTATATATATTTATTATTTATAGATAAATAAAATATATCTGCATGATTTGAATCCACAGAAGTGGCAATACCAAGCACTAGAACTGGTATTCTGAGAAAATGTCCAGCTCAAACTCATATGTCACAATGTCATCATTTGCATAACGTAATATGGTCTTTCTTTAAATACTAGCTAACTAAGCTAACCATTGTACGTCTTAGTAGTCCTCCTACATTGTGTTGGTTAAATGTTCGTTTTATTCCTGCTTTACCCGTAAATCTCACTACATTACCAAAGGTTAGCTAGCAGAGGATGCCAATACAGCATTTAGTTCTCATTTGTATAGAAAAAATCTATCATTAATTTGCATATTTTGCATGAAATATTTATCAGACTTTTATAAATACAAATTTTTGTACTGTAAATATTTTTTAGCCTAGGTACTTGTTTGATAGTTACTGATTATAAAAACTGAGTCTGAGATAATATTAAAAGTTCTTTATCTTCTTTTTATGTTTTTGGTAACTCATAATAGAATTATGGCAGTGTCACATTAGTCAGGAGTGACAACAAAGTATTTTGTGTAATATTATGTGTATAAAACAGAATATCAAACCTAAAACTAAAGACTAGAATCATTTAAGATCCTTCACCCCTGTTAGTCATATCCCTTCTAATATAATAAATTTGAAAGTGTGTTTCTTATTTTGCCTTTCTTTCATGAAGCAATGAGCAATAGACTGACATGCTTTTTTGTGCTGATAGTTCATGGGTCGAAAAGTGACATAAGCTACTTTTTATTTTGCAAAATGCACAGTTCCTGTAAATAGATCTAGGCGTAATTCTATTATTTCATATTTATACTGTCTTAGACCTTGTAATAACATGTTGCTATGATTTAAAAAAAGTATCAATAAGGAAACTGTTTGTATGTATGTCCAACCTTTTCTCCGTAGCCTATCACTGCCACCCACTTATAGTTGTATTGGTACAAGGGCCCCACAAGGGATTTGGTTGCTGTGGCTGGTAAAAATGTATCATAGGATACTTCTATCCTTTTCCAACATATTATACAACTCATATAAGCTCAAAACTGCTGAATAGCATAAATTACGTTTGTCCGTCATAATATTGAGAACTTTTCTACAATGTTCCAGATTCTTTTAGAATGTTCTAGAATATTCTAGCATATATGAGTGATTGTAGTTGATCCAGAATGTTCTAAATTGTTCTCAAAATTTCACGAATGATCTAAGAAATTCCGCCATATATTCAAACACTGATAATTATTAATTTGAGAATTTATCGATCTAGAATATTCTAAATATGTCAAGATTAATCAGGAATGCTCTTGAGATTTTTTATACTATTTAAAAATAATTTTAGACACAGTAGAATATGCTAGATGGTTTCAAAAACATTCTAAAAAATTATAATATATAAAATCGATATAAATATTTAAAGTTGATTAAAAATAATTTCATACATTCTAAGAGGTCTCGCAGTATGTTTAAAATTATTCAAAAATGGTTTTGGACAGTTTGGAAAGTAGAATAATCGAAGAATTACTATTCTAGAATATACATAATGTTGAATTCATACAGTTTCGACGAGTTTTTGAATTTCAATTTATCTCTGCATTATAAAACGTTTTGACACTAGAAATTTTGTTTGCTGACAGTATATAAGCGGAAGTTTTTATAAAAAACAACAAAGCGGTATTTTCTGGATGCCCTTGGTTGTACTGGAAAGACATTTTTAATTAATTTGATCCTAACCCTTAATAACTCTGAACTGGTATTGTGTTATTGTATAAACAAAAGTTGGTAATAACATGGTAATTACATTGATGTTTTAACATTCCTCAACTATGCAGAACAAAAGTCTGGATTGCATGCAAAAAAATTTGCCACCATCAATGTATTTATCCTTGGTAGATTAGTACTTTCTGCTTTTACAAATCCGTCTTCCATGATGCCTTTTCAATAAAATTCGGAATAAAACTCAACAATCGTAATGATAACTTGAAAAATTTCGAAATAACACACAGCACATTTGCTAGTTCACTTAACCAGTGAAGTCATGATGAAATATAATATAGTGGATAGCGTTTTGGAGATTTGAAGTACAGATAAAACGTATTATTAAAATTGAATTATAAAATTTATAATGCATTTTATTAATAGAAATCAATATTTCTCGTTTATGTTTAACAAAACCTATCTTAAATGTATATTTTGTAATGATCCACCCCTACGTTGGACCTCTGGTAAACTCTTGTGTCTACCACTGCGCTCCTCATTCTTTCATCCACAATTATGAAATCTATCATGCTTCTATCATAACCGTTTCCCATGTATACATGTGAATCTTCTTATGACAAAAGAAAGTGGTCATCACAAAAAGATTATTTGTGCAACTTTACCATTATTGTTTTTAAAATCTCTAACTGGATGGACACAATTACAGTCGTACATCAACTCCACTGTGAAGGCCAGGTCATGTTGCCATGTTATTTAATTCTACCTAAATTAAGTAAAATATGATGTGAAGTACTAATGTTGAATTTTGTAGAAAAATATTAAACATTCTAAAAATTGCTACTACACATTGTCCCATTGTACATTTTTGATTATTTTATATTAATTTATAGTAATTGTATTTTTTAGAAGTAGAAGAGGATCAAAAGAAGAGCAATGTTCATAAAACTTCTAATCAACTTTCATCTGATACTGACAATCAAGATGACAGTCAGGACAGCAGTGAAAGCATTAAGCCCAATGCTATTTATGAAATTGTTCAAGCGGTGCGGAAGGAAACACAATTGAGTCATGAAATGTCAAAAGTTGCTGTGGAAACAGTCTTAATTTCTTTAAGGGTATGTTGAAATCTGTCTATTAAAAAGATTACTTAAAAAAAACATGCAATTGTAAGTTGTTCATCTTCCAGGACAAAGTATTTGTACGTGATTCTCTATGTTATATTGTATGTTATATTTTAGGAATTTCTCCCTGGCGGTGCTGCACGATCCATTATTGACGCACTCCTTCGAGAAGCTAACAGCAACATAACTTGCCCCAAAAATGCAATCGATGCGGCGCCTGACGCTTTACGCATTATGACAGCTTTAAATTCTTTATCAAAAGCTGCAAACGATGCCCAACAGAGAGGTTGGGCATTGCATGATGACGCTCATGACATACAGACACAGTTGCTTGAACTCATCTCTGTTATGGTATGCCTTTTTTTTGTGGGTTTTCTAGTGTTGCTTTAGCCAGTTATGAAATTTTCTCATACTTAAATTTAGATACTTAAAAACAATTTGAGGCTAAATCGTAATCTTATGATAGTAATTGACAGCCATATTGTGCAAGGGAGAAAAAAATTCCTGATGACCATATAGCAAGATAGAAACAAATCACAAGTCGCTAGCAACAATTGAGCTCCTAAGTATTTTGGATTTTTTTTGAGTATAATAATGGTTTTATTTTTAGTAATAGTCTTCAAAAATCGATATTTGTTCTGTGAGTGACTGATGTCGAAATAATAGAAATAATCCCGATAGTTGAACATTTCACAGGTCACACTCAAGATGTCCTTACTGCTATGTCGCATTATTTTTGAGTACAATTATAAATTTTATTGTTTATAATAGTAGATTCGGCATTAATCGATTCCATTCCGCTTTATGCGAAAATGCTTATCTATGGCCACACTTTTTTGAATCATGAATAAGTATAGACTATAGAGTATAATTACCAGAAATAACGTCCAATGCTTTACAATATAGTACGGGTAGAAAATTAAATGAAAAGATAAATGCTCGATTTGCGTTGTAAAAACGTAACTCTATTTTGCTTTTTACTTTTTATACTAAACTTAATTATTTAAGTAAGGAAAATTTTTGTACCAGTTAAATAAGATTGTTCTGTATACAGGCCAAAAAGTCATAATAATTAATTTGTTTAAAATCAATTTGAATGTTTGCTGGTGAAATAAAAGCGGAAACACTGAGTACTATATACTGTTGTCTACCGGCTGTCTCGATTAATAAACTCGATGTTTTATTAGTGCTCTCTGAAAGTACATACACGTGTCAAAGCTGTTCAAGGCAGTAATTTTTTTTCCAATAGTCGTAAGTACTCAAAAATACAACTTTCAGATTTGTTTTTTGGAGACAATTAGTCTTTATGAGTAGACTCACCTCTCCAGAACTTTATTGAGATTTTATACATTTTGTATTAAAATCCAACAAAAATCAGGCAAATTCAGCTTATTCCCACTTCCAATTGCAGTGTTGTGGTCACACTGAAATAATTTATCGAAAGTCCTTATAGCTAAAATATACATCACTAGTTAACGCACACAATGACAAATCAAAAAGACAATGTTGAAATAATATGTGATGGAATTATTAAGGGTCTAGTTAAGTCACCAATACAGATATCTATGAAATAATTTACTTTGTGTTATTTAATCAAGCTTATGGCCTATCGAGGTCTGGAAAAATCATCTTACCTAATTTAAAACTAAATTGATTAGTTGTTGTAGTTGTTACTGGTTGTTACGATTCGTCAGTGAAGACAGGCAAAGGTCTTATACCATACAGCCAAGTTTGACGTGTTTTTTGTTCAGAAAACTCTTGTATATTAAACCAATGCATTTTTTTAGTATTGCTTCTATGCTGGTAATTACCCTATATAAACAAATATGAAAATTATATTGACTAGTTGTTGTTGTAACGATTTGCCAATTAAGGCGTTTTATACCATACGGCCTAGTCTGATGTGTATTTTGTTTATACTGGAATATCCTTAATTCCTGACTTTCTGCAGTAGTATGACTGAAGAAAAAAATGTTCAGGATTTTAAAACTTTATATTTTTACATATTTTGTAGTTGTAGACGCAAGAAAAAAAAGTCACATAAAATTTGTTTGGGAGTTTGCCATTGTCCATTGTCACGCGTTTTCGAACAGTCAGGTCGTCTATATGCCATTATATTATTCTAAAACTATGGGCTAAATGTTTTTATAGGAGCAATAAAGTTGACTCCACACTCATAACTTTAGAATTTCGCGTCTTGATTCAACTTTCATCGCCACCTCTCTTTGCTTGACTTGTATATATATAAGGTAATAATCTTCATCACCATCATTCTGTAAAAGCTAGACATGGTCACAGTCGTGGGAGGATTTTTCTTAATGCTTGGTGGGGTGATTGACAATTGCCATACCAGTCTAGTTATTTTACGTCTGGCGTAAACACGTTGGTTATTCCTTCCATCTATCAAAAGATGATTCTGATATTTTATATAGTTTTAATTTATTCTATGTCCCCTTGTAATGGAATCTTGCAAATTAAAGATCAATGAAAATACAATTAAAAGTTTAATGCATTTTTTGTATATTACAGTCAAATGCCGATGTAAATATCTCGCAGCATGTTGTAAGCAGCCATCGCTACGCCTACGTCACCACTTTAGTCCAGTATTACCAAATGGAAACACGTTGGCCTCTACGACAACTCTTGCTGCAGGTATTATTTATTGTCTGTTTTTAAATCACTATCAATCCACTTAATTTATTTGAGCTGTGGTAGAAGAATCAAGAGTGGCGGCCTCGTACCGGTATAGGACAGCCTCCCACTAGATGGAGCAACGACCTGTTAAGCCACGCAAGAAATCGCTGGATAACATCATTTTAGCAGATTTCAAAAAAAGAAAAAGATTAATTTCTGCTGTATATTGTTATTAGTATGTAACGCAATATCTCGGCCTTACAGGCAGCGAGCCCTGAGTCAGATGAAGCTGTAAGAGTCGCATAAACTAACAGCGCCAACATCTCGAAAATAGACTCAACAGTTGTGAACCGGTTTTAATAATTCTTTTTTATTAAATAAGTATATCTTCTTAATATAAGATAAACTTCAGGGTTGGTCCCATATAAATTTCGAGAAAAAATTCCACACTGTTAAAAAACAAATAATCATTTTCTTAATGTAGCTATTTAGATTGTGATATCCTTTAATCCAAACAAAAGGTAATAATTAACGTTTAGCAAAAAGTATAAGCCAACTTTAAAGAACTGAAAAGATTAAAATAATTATGCATTTTGAAATCAGGGGTTTATTCTTCTATACACATATGTCTTAGCACCGACTCCAGCATGTGAAATTATTTTTTTAATTCTTTTTAGTGGACACCCCGTACCTATAAGCGATGTTTGTCACAAGTAGGAGTGACAACCTGGTAAGAGATGCAGGAATTCTATGGATGCAGGTAGCTCAGGACACTGGCATTTCATGGGGAGGCCTATGTTTCAAAACTGTACTGTAATGATGATGATGATGACGACGATAAGCTCTTTGTTGTCAACTTTTACTTTTTAATAAAAATTAACTTTTAGTATCTTGTCACATTAATTAACGTTTACGTACGTACTTTTTACGTACATCGAAACTAATTTTAAAATCTTTTTATTTGTTCCGTAATTTAATTTTGAGTTAAAATGTGTAGTGATGTCAATTAATATAATATTTGCATCAGGTCAACTAATGATAGTCACAATATCTCGTAACTTATGGTATTGCCAGTTTAAGCGATGGGTAGTGTTATAGGTTCGGGACGTTTGATGATTCGCCAAATATGTTTGAGATTTCCACATTAGAAGTTTTTAAATAAAAGTAAGAGTGGCAAAAAAAAAACAGTTCACCTAATGATAAATGGACGCTGCAGCCCATGTATAGCTACATCTATCCTCGGGTAAAAATCACAATACAGATTCGTTACTCCTAAAGACTAACGTGTAATGTTTCGATAACAATAACCGTTAACATTTTGTATATTAAGAGACGAGAAACAGAGAACCTTTTCGTCATTTTCATTTTTAATCCCTCAGGGGTGACACATCTTCATTTTGATTTTTAATCGAGGATAGATGTAGATGTCTATGGGCCAATGCATCCACTCACCAGGTGTACTGTATGCTAGTTGGTCAACCCTATTTTGTAAAATGGGCTTCTCATTCGTACTGCTCCTATTCGTTGCAGCGTGGTTATATAATGCGGTTAACTATATCAGTGAAGAAAACTTTATATATAAAGTATATATATATATATATATATATATATATATATATATATATATATATATATATGTGTGTGTGTGTGTGTGTGTGTGTGTGTGTGTGTGTGTGTGTGTGGTGTGTGCGGTGTGCGCGTGTGCGTGTGTGTGTGTGTGTATGTATGTCATACTAGCAAGATAAGTCTGCAATTGTTGGTTTTCAGGCATTCGGTGTGATGTGCGGCTTGGAGCGTACTGCGCTGGCAACACTGGCGCTATCGGCCTTGCCCGCTGAGATAGCGCGCGACATGCGCGATAATCCTCGCGCAGTCAGCCGCCTATCACACTCTGCACTACTTTTGTCTATGGTCCTCTCTATGGGTGATAAATTACCAGTGACGCACTTTGGTATGTTTAATAATTTTTAAAGTGAAACTTTATCGACATAGTGGAGAAATTTAGTACGGTATTATAAATAAAAAACGTCACGTTTTTTGTAACGTTTCATCGCATGGGCTGCATGACTATTTAATGGGTCGGGGAAAAGTTTCTTCGTATTTTGTTTGTATGGGGGCGTTCAAGTATTACGTAACGCAATTTGGTGAGATGGGGGTCTTGTAAAACGTTGTGGTGCGTTACAAGGGCAAGGGCGAGAGGGTTCGAACAACGTGTTACGTAATATTGTTTTTAATTTAAATAAAAAGCCCGAAGATAGCTTGCGGGAATCCAGCAGAACCTACTCTGGCTTGGTATAGCGCTCACGTCCGTGAATCTCAATATTTCGTACAAGTGATTAAATGGTGACGAATCCGCGTTGTGCATTGAAATCTGTATTTCCGGATACTCTCCCTCTGCCACCCTGCCCAATCCTTCAAATCCCAAGCAAGCTCGTGATGACTAGTCAGCTAAACAAAAGCTCATGCAAGTTAACCACTTTCACAACTCTTTGTGACGTTGTTCGTTGATCTGTCGCCTCATCTAGAGGGTTTAAGCAGATGCTTTACAATTTCTTTTGCCCATCTGTACAATCCGACCTCAAGAACAGAGTATGTGCAACCTGTGGGATCTATTTCACATCCCACAAGAGTGTGTAAATGCACAGTCGTTACGTGCATGGTAAGACTGCCCAGGACATCGTGAAAATAGAGTACGGCCACAGCAACTTGCTGCCAGATGGGCAAATTAGCTTCTCATTTTGCGCCGCTGTGAAAAATCGTCTGAAGGTGCCGTTTCGCTTGACGAAGACGAAGATTATGCAAGTAGTTTAATAATTCCGGAACCCTCTTCGTCTGCTCTCTGGATGCCAGTAATGAGAGTCTGAGTGGCTGGCAAACCCGTGAACAGAGATGCAGTAACTTCAATTGAATTTTTTTACATACTTACTAATTTGAATTATGGCTGATCTTATTTTTTGTTAAGAATATGGTTTTATTTTGAAAAATATCTTTTATTTCTTTTAGGTTTCCATTTCTTATTGCATTGCCAAAGGTTAAAATAAGTATGGTATTTTATTTTACGAGCATATTAGTAAAAAAAAGAAAAAAGGCATATTGCACGAGAAGAACAATGGTGGATGAAGCCAAAAATGTATGTAAGGACAGGGCCAAGTCAGGAAAACGGTGCAATCAAATGTAAGATTAGTAGTGTGGGTGCCGCTGACACAGCACACACATACATCGCCCGTATCAATGTAAATGTAATTCGCATGAAATACGATAACGACCGTCACCAGCGGGACGGCAGTCTGTAAGTCGGTTAACTAGAGTGCGGTAGGCAGTTCCTTTCTAAGTGTATCATGTGAACACGCAACTCTGATGTACAAAATAAATCAGCTACACGCATGTGAACCGTTACTTCATTTTCCTCCCTGCACAAGCCCTTAAGATACACTAGCCACCAAACCATTCACCACAGTAGTAAAAGTTTGTTAGGACAAATTTGAGCCCATTTTATCTTATTTTAAACGTAAGCAAATGTTTATTACATTATGTGTGATTGTTTACTAAATAATAATATGCATAAATAAAATAAACAATATACGTATGTGTTGCGAGTTAGAAATCTCTTGTTATTATCCGCAAACGCGATTAAAACAATTAACAAGGGTATTTTAGCAACTTTCCGGAACTTTGCGCATTATAATTGTGACTTTTAGGTAATAATAGTCTTTTGGGTATTACGTAACGTTTAGAGAAGGGACGGGGGGGGGGGGGGGGTACAGAAACCATTACGGCGCGTTGCATGGAGGGGGGGACAGGATCAAAGATCTTTAAAAATTGCGTAGTACTTGAACGCCACCCTATAAAGTTGAAGAAAAATCTCTTTAGTTGTAATGTTTGTACATCACTTTCCCGACAATTTTCAATTGTTTTTCTCTCCCCCAAAATGAGTGAATCTAACGAAGAAGTTCGATACATTCTAAAGTTTTAATAAAAAATAGGGTTTAAAATTTGTTGTTTTTTAAGTTTATGGACCTAATAATTCCTTATACTCTCTCAGATAGTTTGATTATTTGACTAAGCAGTGGCCAAAAATATTTTATTTTTAATTTTTTTTACATTGTTTCACTGAATCCGTTCATTCATTATACAACTAATATAAAGTTAGATCTAATCAGCATATAATTTCAGAACAACTTGGCGTTGAGTTCGCGCAGTTCTTACTTGAACTCATTGAGAACCCACCGGAGACAGATGTAGATGAACAGATTCCAGACTTGTTCCTCACGTTACTACTCGCCTATAACTTGCAGTTCGAAAACCCCTATGAAAATCTTCTATTGAACGCTTTAGAGACTCAAGATAATGCTAAGACCTTCTGTGAGAAGGTTCTTCTATTGCTGAATCGTGAAGGTGAGTTTTTAAAATTAAATATTCATTTGATTTAATTGTTTTATCTCGTTATCTATTTGTACAAACTTATGGTGCATTTTCAAACTGATTATGATATTATTGCAGCATCTTACGTTGATTAACTCAACTTGCTAGTCAATCCTGGAAATGTTCTTAATTAAAAGAAATATGATCTCTATTTGTAATACCGGTTCGTTCTCAAGCTAATGGCGAGTAAAATAAAACACACACTTAGGCAGAATTGGCGAGAAACTAGTTCGCCTTCCTTCTGGAACCCGTGCATTATTCTGGTCTCTCGCCAAAGCTGTCCAAGAGAATTTCTGTCAGCCATCTCCTTCTTCTCTGCACAGGGAGGACGACTCACTGGCCCATGCCGTAAAGGAGAAAGCAGATCTGCTAGGCTCTTTCTTTGCGTCCAACTCGACTCTGATGAAGGGGCGCCGACCATTCCGCGGTGTGAGTGCTCCATGCCGGAAGTGCGGTTCACACAGCGCTCGGTTCGCAAAGCACTTCTCTCCCTGAACATCCACAAGTCGAGTGAGCCTAACGGTATCCCCCCCCCATTTGTGCTCAGAACGTTTGCTCCAGAGTTGGCACCGGTCTTAACGCGTCTTTTCCGGTACTCCTACTCCCTAGGCGTAGTCCCAAAATCCTGGAAGACTGCTTTCCTCCACCCGATCCCTAAAAAAGGCGACAGCTCAGACCCGTTCAACTACAGGCCCATCGCCATCACCTTCTTGTTCTCCAAAACAATGGAGTCCATTGTAAACTGCCAGCTCGTGAGGTACCTTGAGGATCAACAGCTGATTAGTGATCGCGTGATAAGTTTTCGTCGCGGTCGACCAGCTGGTGATCTTCTGGTTTACCTGACTCAAAGATGGGCGGTGGAGATTACTTTCTAGGCAGGGCATGACCTCGTAACATATAATATGTAACGTCAACACTTGGCAGTATGCTTTCAATTCAAAATACACTGGACTGTCAAAATTAATGAAAGCAAGGAGTTGATTTTGTCGTCTCGCTCGAACACGTTAGTTTGGACATTGAAAAGGCCTTCGATCAGGTTTGGCACGAAGCGCTTCTTTCGAAACTCCCTTCCTATGGGCTTCCCGAGAAATTGTGCAGTTGTATCACCAGCTTTCTTGCAGATCGGAGCATCAAGGTCGTTGTAGACGGTGACAAGCCTGTTAATGCTGGTGTTCCACTAGACTGCGTGCTATCACCAACGCTGTTTCTTCTGCACATCAATATGTTGCAAACCGGCAACATTCATTGCTATGGAGATGACAGCACTTGTGATGCTCTGTACACCGGCCGTGCAATATTTCTCGGGAAAACGTCTCCGAGTACCGGGACAAACTTGTGTCTTAAGTCGAGTCTTTGCTGAACAAAGTCTCGGATTGTGGGGGCGACTAAATCTAGTCCAGTTTAATTCTCAGAAAACACAAGTTTGCGCGTTAACCGCTAAAAAGAACCCCTTTGTCGTATCTCCTCAGTTTCAAGACACTCCCCTTGTTGCCTCAGCCAGTAACGTGGAATCCTCGGCGTCGACATATTAAGTAACGTGAATGAGTTTCGTGGTCACTTGGAACAGAAGGCCAAATTGGCCTCTAAAAAGCTTGGCGTGCTCAGCAGAGCGGGACAGTATTTCATGCCGGCACACCGCCTGCAACATTACAAGGCACAGGTTCGGCCGCACGTGGAATATTGTTCCTATCTCTGGGCTGGGTCTCCCCAGTGCCAGCTCCTTCCACTTGACCGCATCCAGCGTAGAGGGGACGACCGAGTGTTTTCCGATCGTCTCGATTCACTGGCGCTGCGAAGAGATGTTGCAGATTTTTGGCGTATTTTATCGCATCTATCACGGGGAGTGCTCTTAGGAATTGTTCGGATTAATCCCAGCCGCCAAATTTCATGAACGCACTACGCGGCATACGTCCTTATACCATCCACATCATCTAGATGCTTGGCGGTCCATTACTGTAGGTTTCACTAGGAGTTTTCTTCGCGTACGACCTCTCTGTGGAATAGTTTACCACCGGCGATTTTTCCAGACCGATACAACCTGGGGACCTTCAAGAAAAGAGCTTACTCCTTTCGCACCTGCAGACTTGTCTGCAATTTGGCCTTGTATTGCAAAATAATCCTGTATAATATCAGTATCGTTCATATATGTTGGTGACGATGTATCGTTATCGGTATCGGCCAATGAAGAAACTCTCATACGAAGTTCAGTATTAATATCTCTATAATAATAATAATAAATGCTTTATCTCTAAGCTTATATTATTTTCGAAGTATATCGCTCAGTGATTGTTAGTACTTAAAAGTAGTTGGTATCTAAATTTAAAACATTAGGTTAGGAATTTAAAAATATTATAGACTATTTTATGAATTCAAATCTATTTCTGCTCATGTTATGTTTAAATAAAGGGCGGTGTTCTTTTTCATATCATACATGATACTTATTACTTACTAACTCTATATTAATGTTAAACAAAAATCAATCAAATACAACTAGTAGTTTAACCTCAAGAATTTTATTTTGTATAGTTTTTTTTTAATGTAATATAGACAAATAAATTTTCACTAGACAAAAGGTCAATAAACTATGCCTACAAAATAAAGAAAGCAATGATGCTGCTAGGGTTACCACCTTTTTTTGAACAAATATAGTATTTTTCCCAAAAAAGATACAAAAATATAACGCTTTTTAGAAATTCAGGAGAAAAAGAAGTACACATATATTTTTAATCTTTATGAATTTTTCCATATATATTTGTTATTGGTCTTTGCTTTGATCATCAACGACCTTACCACCTTACCTTCGACCTTACCTTTACAATAGTTACAGCAGTCTGAGCGATTTAGATTAATATTAAAATAAATTGACGTTTAACTTGTAATTAAATTAATACATGCTCTTTTTCTTACTTCTTTCAATTTCACATTCATGACGCAAAAAATTCTTTCCGTAAAAATTATTTGTTTCAAGACTTCCAATCACAGTTAATATAAAAAAGCGCGACAGTTGAATTAGGGATAAAAATATAGTATTTTTCGTACTTTATTATTTTTCTATAATATATAGTACAATTGACTGAAATATAGTACGATACTATATATTATAGTACGGGTGGCAACCCTAGTTGCCGACCTTCTCAAAGTAAGTTGTACAAATTATAGACTACAGGCCCATGTCCAAAAATTGGGTCATATGAACCACCAGGTGATGTGTATAAAATAATAATAAGATTCAGCACTATGCCGTCACTTGTAAGCTGTCCAACTGAGTGCTGGTGAGAATTCAAAAGTGCAGGTAGAGTGAGTACATTTTGGTCATATATTTTTGTACGGCATTTTTACCATCGATAGATCCATGAAAAATAATAAGAAAGTGCGCAGTGCCGTATAAAAATGGTGCGCCACAAAGTCGGTAATTTTTTTTTATTTTTGACAATTTCCGGGGTAAATTTTCTGTTTCGGTTGCATTAATTGTTCCGTCATTACAAATTATGCGCGATGTTCAAACCTATGTTTACTGTTCTTTTAATTGTTTACGTTTTACCCACATCTATAGTTAATATTCTGTATGCTTGTAATGGATTCCTTTATTATTGTTTGTAATTTTTTTATATCTCGTAAGCGATTTGTAATCTTTTGAGAAATAAATAATATCTTAAAAAAATTTTTGGTCATATCAATATTGGTCATTTCATTCTGTACGGCATCAGTTTCATATTGTTTCAATACAGCTTCTAATCCATTATTCCGCAACGCCGTACAAAAATCATGCGACAAAGGGAAAAAACATAGGGTTGCAACCCCCTCTCTTTCCGTGGTCCGGGGGGTGATTTGAAAAAAGTACGGCTTCGGTTCCAAAACATTATCTAGCACTCAAAAGTACTAATAAAAATAATGCCGTCAAAATTATTGTTCATTTGAATGTATATTAATAATTATCTTAATTCCATGGTATACTTAATTTATAAAGCTGTAAAATCATTTGACTCTGTACGGCAACTTTTTTTTTTACATAATATTGTAAAATACAATTGTTATATTATTTATAGTATTGCCATTCAAAAGAAACTGTTCTAAAAAAATTTGAGAGAAATACAAAAACTGCAATTTTCTAAATTTTTCCCTTGCTTTAAATAGTATTAAGATAAATAAATTAGGAAAAAATTATGCCGTACATTTTAATGTAGACCATATCTTTTAGGCTGATGAAAATGACGCTACCATTTTAAGGGTGTAGTAATTAATGGCCATCTGATACTGTACGGTATTAACATATTTTTGAAGAGAACAATTGATAATATGATAAAATCATTATGACGTCTAACTGAAGTGAAAGGGTGTGTATATAATATCCAAGAATTGAAACTGTTAATCTCAATATCAACAGTTTTGTATACTTTTTGGTTTAATATTATACTTCAAACATTATTGATACATGTATATAATTGATTTTTTCATTGTAATGATGTGAATAAATAAAACAACTATTTAAAAAAATCGATATATTTAAAGATGATAATACAAAATAAGGTTTTTATTTAAATTATTCAGTATCGGAATCTGCCGCTGAGTTGTTATCGGAATCAACGTCTTCATGTTTGTAGGCATTACACCAAATCTGTGCTATATAGGTACTTCTCTTCATATGTTGTTTTAACTCCCGGGAACAAGAAGGAACTTTCAGATTTGTACGGCATTAACTTTTTATAAATTATTGCATTAAGTACAAATAAACTATCTAAATGCCGTATAAAAAAATATCGTCATGAATTTCACATTACATTTCGTTTATGGATTTTTCTTACATTTCGTTCTATGGATTTTCCTTGAGTTTTTTTCCCTACAAACCTTTGGACCAACGAAAATGTACGGCATGTAAAAGAAAATTTCTATGCATAAAATACTTTCAAAATAAATTAATTTTATGTTGTTTCAAATCGACCACGGAAAGGGCGGGGTTTGCAACCCTCGATTTT